GACTTACCTTCCTACAGTACTTGAGGATTGAGATAGGGGTTCTATGATGGCACTCCTTTGCCAGGACAGGTTATTTGCGAGTTCCGGAGAAAAATACCAATTTTGCCCCTGTATTAATGCATCTCTGATGCTGGCGGCTTACAGGTAATATTTACATTCCTATATATTATCAGAAGTCCTTAGAAGCATGAGGATTACAATTCCTGAGGAGGGGGGGATCAAAAGACAGCACTTATTTTGTAGCACTAGTAATATTTTACTTACGGTACGATGTGTTTCTCTCAGAACAGATGGGCATGAGTGTAAATATGTTTTCAATTATAGTTCTATTCATCTATAAGGTGTGCCAGCAAATTGTACGATTTCTCAGGTGTTACCCCTATTTATACTGGCAGAGGTGACTGGGGAACATACTGGGGAATTGTTATAATTCCATGTCTATCCCCAGAGTCTACAAATGATGAACGGTTGCTTCTGTGCACAATTATAAATGGTAATAAATAGTAATAAATATCTAACAAAATCAGCATAAATGTTCTATACTTATTCTTTGGTTTATTACACAGTACTTACATATCATCAAGAAACTAAATTGTAGTGAAACTTAAACAATAATAATAATAATTATTATTATTATTATTATACAGGATTTATATAGCGCCAACCGTTTACTCAGTACTTTACAATATAAAAGAAAACAATACAGCAACAATACAGTTAAATACAAGAAAGTTAGGAGGGCCCTGATCCTTGGAGCTTACAATCTAAGAGTAATAATAAACATTTCACATTTTTATAGCCGTCTGTCTTTATCCTGATTTGGAAGAATTTTCCTTTGTAAGGTGTCAGATAGAGATGAGTTTTACATTCGACGCAAACCCTGCATTTTTGCAGTTGGGCAAACTGCCAAACAAAATATTGGGTGAGTTTGCCAGTTTCTCTAGCTAGGGATCTGTCATTTAATCGTGGTATCCACACTACCTACACTACCTAATTTCTTCTTGTTAAAAACTTCTGGGGATCCTAGGTGATGTTACTAACCAAATATGTGTAAATGAATAAAGTGCAGCGCTATAGACGTACAAATAATATGAAAAATATATACAAATATTCTAATAAATTATAAATGCGGAATAATAAAGTGCTATTAAGTGCAATTGTGCATATAAGTAAATCGATAAATGTCAGTAATATATCTCAAATCAAATCAGCAAAAAAAATGAGCAATAATAGTCCTCAGGTTGAATTGCAATACGTCCAAGTGAAGAAAGTGCAGATGTTATATATCCACGGAGGGAATCCACCACATCTAGATTAACTAAAGCCACCAGATATATGTGCTTTTCTTCTGTAAGATACAAATGAAGTGTGAAATTTTTAATGAACAAGGAATTTACGATGAAGGAAAAGTATAGGTATATTTATTTTTTATCTTTTTGTTTTTTGCAGATACTGTATGTTAAAACAGGAATTAAATGCTAGGTTGACCTTAGGTAAATGTTACACATAACACCCATTTTTAGGGTGTAACATGTGACATGTCCTTAAGCATGCCAACCTTCATACCCTGAGCCAGGGGTTCCTCTCCCCCACCGCCTTGCCAGTTGTGTAGGCAAAGAGATCTGTGAACGGATAACAACATGTCCTTTCTGTCACTGTCACAAATGGACTTATAGTTCTCAGTGGACTATAAGAGTGCCGATCAACACACTCTGGGGGGAGTTTTACTAAAAGTGGTGCACACAGAATCTGGTGTACTGTGCATAGTAACCAATCATCTTCTAGATTTTTTTGTCAAAGCTTAATTGAACAAGCTGATGTTAGGAGTTGATTGGTTGCTATGGGGGATGTTTAAGTAAAACCAGAACTTTTAATTTTCCAGGTATGCAAAGGGATGCTAACATGGCAGTAGTACTCGTAGTAATAATTGGCAAGTGTGTCTTATTACTGATAGGCAGTGCACATGTCATGGGCCAGTCCAGAGACCATTAATTAAGATGGCAGACAACAGTGTTAGTGTGTGCATGGAACAGCATGTGATGATGAAGTTACTTGTGAATGAAGGCCTAAAGCCCGCGGATATCTACAGAAGGCTTCAAGCACAGCACGGTGATGAGAATCTCAGCTGTAGACGAAATGAAATATTAAGTGTGTCGCGCTCCTCAATATTGTTTAGTAGTGAATAATGTATATATATAAAATAATCAATAAATAAATAGATAAATAAAATTTAAATAATTCTAAATAGATCCATAGTGATAAAATTTTCAACCCCTGGTGTTATATTTTTATTAACCATACACATAAAATAAATAGTGTGAAAAAACTAATAAATTCAAATTCTATGGACACAATAATAATTAAATCAGGAGAACTAAAAAAATCATAACTAATAAACTAAAAAAAAACCATACGTATAGGTATATTTATGTGCAAACCTTATAAGTGCAAAAATTGCAAAAATATTTCATAAAACAGTGAAAAAAAAATATATATATATCTATAATAAAAAGCAGTATGCTAATTCATATAAAAATTGATAAATCAAAAAATAAATAAATAAATAATAGTAAAAAATATTAAGACAAAACAAATAATATCGTTTGCTCACTCTCACTTGTGCAGCCAAAAAATAGTAATGAGAGCTATATACTGGTTAACCTTAACTCAGGTGACAAATAATTATCCCAAACGTGAAAAATGTGTTGCTAATGAGGTAGATTGTAATGTTCCTTTCTTTCCACTAGATGGCCTTTTCTTCTGTGTTATAAGGGTTGGATAGATGGAAGTAGATATCTCCCCTTGTCCTATTACAGACTACAGTGATCCCTCGTTTTTTTCGCTGTTAATGGGGACCAGAACCTCCCGCAAAAGCTGAAAAAAAACCGCGAAATAGTATTTGCCCCTAGGAATTTTTGTGTATGCGGGTACTGTACAAGAATGTTTTAAATATGTAAACATCATGGACAAGACTGGCGAGATACAACAAGGGAAGATGCTAAGGGAGGCTGCAATGATGCGCAGACAATCAACTCACAGGGATAAATCCACTCGTACTCTTATTGGTCGATGTCACACCGGAAACCAATCACGCGCCTTTATGAAAGCCCGTGGTATGTACAGTACTCTGAGTCAACTCATCTCTTTGGTTGACATGCAGGGATCCTTCTCTTTTGCGCATCAACATGAAACAACACTCCTTTCCACAATGTGGCTGCTGACCCGCGAAGTACTGAAGCCGCAAAACATGAAGTGCGAAGTGGCGAGGGAACACTGTATCTCCTTTATCCTCTTCTTCCCTTTTGCTCCTCCAATTTAGGCCATGTAAAAGAAAGATACTGACATAGTGCTTTATCCTTCATATAGGGTTTAATGTGTCTCCAGCCAAATGCACACTTACATTTTACAAGGTAATACAGAGCGTTTTGAAAATGTGTGTGCCCTCGCACAGTGACAGTACTCGCCGTTCTGTAGTTAGTGGCGTCGTGACGTCAGAGCCCCTCCCCTACGCGTTACGCCACAGGGTCACGTGGCTTCCTCAGGGGGATGTAGACGTTTGACTGGTGTAAACGTTTCAAAGATGCTACATCCTTCAGTGATGAACCTGGCCGTGGTGGTTCCCAGCCCACAACAGTTATTCATCTGAACATTCTGCGCATGGAACTCTTGGTCCTGGATAATCAATGCATAATCTGCAATCTGCAAAAATGTTTTGCTACAGTGAGCCTTGAGTAAGAGAGAAATAAGCAGCATTTCAAAGTGAAATCTAGAGAAACAGGATGTTTGGGAAAAGTCTTAGCTATAAAATAATAATAATGAGGCTGTAACTAAGGAGAGGGCAAGTTAGGTGGTGAAACTGTACTGAAAGGAATGTCTGGAAATGAACAAGGACATATTTGGGACGCACAGATATGTGAGAGCTTAGTAGGTTAGATACTGAGCAGAGTAACGCTGGCTATACCCTAGTAGATTTCCAAAAGGAAACTCATACAAAAATTTGTAGGAACATTTTTAGTACACTCCACAGTTGTGGAATATTCTGAAGTAGTTCAAAATGTTATTTGCTTTTAACATTCAATTTGGAATTAATAGTCTTTACTGAATGAAAGCCACACACACTAATGGAAATGTGTTTTCTTCAGAAAATGATTTTGCTTGAACTTCAGTTTAACTCCAAAATTTACATATAAAATTTTGACCTAAATTCTACTAGTATATAGCCAGCTTTACTCTAAAACATGAGCTTACCCAAGGCAATCACCTTATTAGCTTGCAAGTATAATCTAATTCACTTTGTGACTGCATCTAATAAATTACAGCTCAATGTTATCCTATAAAATATCAATTTAGAATCCTTAGTACGACTAAATAGATAAATCACTTTGTTTGACATTCTGTAATTCCAGAAAAAGACACATCAGGGTTTATTTACTAAAGCTGAAGAGTGCAAAATCAGGCTCACTTCTGCATAGAAACCAATTGGCTTCCAGGTATATTGCCAAAGCGTAATTGAACCAGCTGAGGTTAGAAGCTGATTAGTTTCTATGCAGAAGTGAGACTAATTTCTCACTCTCCAGCTTTAGTAAATAACCCCACTGGTCCACATTAAAGTGTTACAAAGTGTTATTAAACCCCAGAGTCTGCATTGAGTAAGTCTGGTCTCCCTGGACCTTTCATTCACTATATCTGGTCTCCCTGGACCTTTCATTCACTATATCCACTCTCCCCGGACCCCGCATTCACTGTATCTGGTCTCCCTGGACCCTGCATTCACTATATCTGCTCTCCCCGGACCCTGAATTCACTATGTCTGGTCTCCCCGGACCCTGCATTCACTATATCTGGACTCCACGGAGCCTGCATTCACTATGTTTGCTCTCCCCGGACCCTGCATTCACTATATCCGCTCTCCCCAGACCCAGCATTCACTATATCTGGTCTCCCCGGACCCTGCATTCACTATATCCGGTCTCCCCGGACCCTGCATTCACTATATCCGGTCTCCCCGGACCCTGCATTCACTATATCCGCTCTCCCCGGACCCTGCATTCACTATATCCACTCTCCCCTGACCCTGCATTCACTATATCCGCTCTCCCCGGACCCTGCATTCACTATATCCGCTCTCCCTGGACCCTGCATTCACTATATCTGCTCTCCCCGGACTCTGCATTCACCATATCCGCTCTCCCCGGACCCTGCATTCACTATGTTTGGTTTCCCCGGACCCTGCATTCATTATATCTGGTCTCCCCAGACCCTGCATTCACTATATCCGCTTTCCCCAGACCAAGCATTCACTATATCCAGTCTCCCCGGACCCTGCATTCACTATATCCGCTCTCCCCGGACCCTGCATTCACTATATCCGGTCTCCCCGAACCCTGCATTCACTATATCTGCTCTCCCCAGACCCTGCATTCACTATATCCGCTCTCCCTGGACCCTGCATTCACTTTATATGGTCTCCCCGGACCCTGCATTCACTATATCCGCTCTCCTCAGACCCTGCATTCACTATATCCGCTCTCCCTGGACCCTGCGTTCACTATATCTGGTCTCCCCGGACCCTGCATTCACTATATCTGGTCTCCCCGGACCCTGCATTCACTATATCCACTCTCCCCGGACCCAGCATTCACTATATCCGGTCTCCCCGGACCCTGCATTCACTATATCCACTCTCCCCTGACCCTGCATTCACTATATCCACTCGCCCGGACCCTGCATTCACTATATCCGCTCTCCCCGGACCCTGCATTCACTATATCCGGTCTCCCCGGACCCTGCATTCACTATATCCGGTCTCCCCGGACCCCGCATTAACTATATCTGGTCTCCCCGGACTCTGCATTCACTATATCCGGTCTCCCCGGACCCTGCATTCACGATGTCTTGTCTCCCCGGACTCTGCATTCATTATATCCGGTCTCCCCGGACCCTGTATTCACTATATCCGCTCTCCCTGGACCCTGCATTCACTATATCCGCTTTCCCCGGACCCTGCATTCACTATATCTGGTCTTCCATAGTACACAGAACATGGAAATGCAATTATTTTTAGTAAATATAAACTGCTAAACACCTTTTCTCATCCGCAGTTAGAGCAGTCTTGTGACTTCTATCAGTGTCCAGCAGAGCACTGGTTAAAGCTTGTAGGAGGAGTTTTTCTTCTGCTCTAGGAGGATACAGGAACCCTGATCTTTGTCTGCAAAGTGCCGATTGGCCCTGTGCTGATCACATGCACTCTCCCAAGAAAAAAATAAAACGCTCTAGCAATACACACTGAATTGAGCATGTGAGTGACTCCACACAATAAGTATTATCATGAGATAAGAGGGGGACACTGGAAGAAGGGGAGGAGCAGAGAAGACAGGATCAAACAGTCTTTTTACACAATGCAGAGGAATAACCCCTTAGGCTCCACCGTGAGTATGCTATTATATATTACTGCATATACAGACTGATTTTACTGTTGTGGGTTTTGTAACACTTTAAGTCCATATATTGAAGTTTAAAACTCTCCTCTTTACAACATTTGCTGACTTACCTTCGTACAGTAGATTAAGAGTAAGACAAGGGTTCTATAAAGGCGCTCCATTGCTGGGATAGCATCTTCGTGGGTTCCTGAGACCAGTACCAATTTTTTCCCTGTATTAATACACCCCTGACGCTGATGGCTTTCATGCCTTTAAAATATACAATGTGCATTCTTATTTACATTCCTGTATATTTCCAGAATTCCTTACAAGCATGAGGATTAAAATGAAAGAGAAGAGGATCAAAACTTAACACTCGGTGTATTTTGTAGCAACAGTAATATTTTAGTTACGGTACGATGTGTTTATCTCAGAACAGATGGGCATGAGGGTAAATATTTCCCAATTATAGTTCTATTCATCTGTAAGCTGTGCCAGCAAATTGTACGATTTCTCAGGTGTTACCCCTATTTATGCTGGTAAATGTGACTGGGGAACATACTGGGGAATTGTCATAATTCCGTGTCTATCTCCAGAGTTTACAAATAATTAAAGGTTGCCTCTGTGCATGATGCAAATAAATGTCTGACAAAATCAGCATAAATGCCTTTTACTTACTCTTTCGTTTTTTTACACAGTAACCAATATATATATATATACATGTCCACCAGATTGACAGACAAAAGTGATTGGTCTTGAGTCCAGTGGCGGCGTGCTTTACACCACGGCATCCAATGCTTTGCATTGCACTTGGTGATGTAAGGCTTGGATGCAGCTGCTCGGCCATGGAAACCCATTCCACGAAGCTCTCTACGCACTTTTGTTGTGGTAAACTGAAGGCCACACCAAGTTTGGAGGTCTTCAGCTATTGACTCTGCAGACAGTTGGTGACTTCTGCGCACTGTGCGCTTCAGCATGCGCTGACCCCACTCTGTCATGTGACGTGGCCTACCACTTGGTGGCTGAGTTGCTGTTGTTCCCAGTTACTTCCACTTTGTTATAATCCCACTAACAGTTGACCGTGGAATATTTAGTAGCCAGGAAATGTCACGGATGGACTTATTGCACAGGTGACCACCTATCACGTGACCACGCTTGGAGTCACTGAGCTCCTGAGAGCGACCCATTCTTTCACCAATGTTTGTAGAAGCAGTCTGCATGCCTAGGGGCTTGATTGTATACACCTGTGTCCATGGAGGGGATTGGAACACCTGAATCACATGATTGGGAGGGCTTGCCTAATACTTTGGGCAATAACAGCAGATTTACACTAAGAACAGCTTGTCTTATGTCATCATTTTTCGCATTTTATAAATATATTTTTTTATTTATTTGTTCTTAAGAGTAGAATTAAAAACTTCTCTCACATTTTTTATAGATGTCTGTCTGTATCCTAATTTGGAACAGTTTTTCTTTGTAAGGTGTCAGACAGAGATGAGCTTCACATTCGACCCAAACCCAGTCTGCTTACAAACCTCCAAACAAAAAGGCCATTTTGGGTCACTTTGTCTGTGCAAAAACCTATCTAATTTTTGTTAACTACCTGGCCAGGGATCTGTCATTTAATCATGGACACCACACTCCCTACAGTGAAATGACAGATCCCCTGCCAAATTCTTATTGTAAAAAAACTATTGGGGATCCTGGATGACAAAAAATGGTAGTGACTACATGTCATATGTGAAAACACTCAGCATTCTGGATGATTTGTTTACAAACAGAAGCTGGCCATGGTCTTTTGTCATTTTGTGGTGGTAATATGGGCAACATCATAGGGTGCATGGGTAATGATGGAGGTGGGTCATTGTGATTGACACTGGATCTGCATTGCTAGATGCAGGAACTGACAATTTTATTTTTTAATTGTAATGTAATTAAAATACTTTGTCTAGGTGTTTTTGTACTTATTTGCTTTTAGCTCTTTTCTGGGTGTGAGTAATAGGGGATACTAATGTACTCTCCAGGGATAATTCTCCAGGGAGAACAGATACCCATGGGCCCACTTGTTATAGAGGGGGCTTCCATACTCTTATACGTCTCCCCTGCAAACTCCCACATCCCACAAACCCCTCATATCCTCTTAAGACCCAGATGTGGGATTGAGGACCCTCAACATGGGGCCATAAAGTGTACCTCAAATAAAATATGTTATGATCAATATATACTCCAGTTCAGATAAAAGTAATATAAGTAAAATTGATTAAATTAATGCATTAATAAAACGGTGACAGTTCGTGACAAGTGATTAAATACAGGAGTTGTTTGTGACTTCTTGATCCAGTGGTCTGGTGATAAATAGTAAAAATACGCACTCACCAGATGCGTATTTTTAATACGCATGTAATTTATATATTTATGAGGTCTATGTTTTGGTTGCCTTACGTGCTATAGCTGCTATTATTTGAAGCACTCACTGATTGCATTTATCTTACATAAAGTGTACCTGTCAGGATTACATTGGTACATCAAGATTAAGAGGCTCCCTCACTGAAGTGTCTTTACTGAGGGGGCCACAAACTCTTCTACATTTGTATGGGAGGTGGGTGTGTAGGAATCCAGGGGGTAGGATATTTATATGTAGGTAAGTTGGCAAGCCTTGCTTTTGGTAAACTGTAACTAGATCCTTTTTCCTATTCAGCAAAGTGTAAAAGAAATTTTAACATTTGCTAGAACTTCCCACATGATTGCGTCTGTGGGAATTTGCGCCTATTTGTGAGGTCAGGTGTTGATGTTGGATGAGAAGCCTTGCTACAAATTGACATTCTATATCTTCATTGCAAGTGTTCAGTAGGGTTGAAGTTAGGGCTCTGTGAAGGCCACTCAAGTTCCTCTATACTAAACTTATCAAACCATTTCTTTATTAGTGAGGAGCAAACACTTGAAAAAATCCACATACCCCAAGCATAGCACCCAAGCCTAACTGAAGTTCATAGGAGTTGAATCTTATACATTTTTTACTGCCCTTTTTAAAAGCCAACTTGTAAGTTTTCTAGCAAAATATAATACAGAGAAAGTGTGGGAAGGATCCCTCAAGGAAGCAGTCCCAAATAAAGAGGCCAACTGCCTATCAATGTAATTTATTAATGAATATGCAAAAAAAGTGTAAAAATATGTAAAGATATGCATGATAAAAAAACACCTTCACCCTACACAATAAAATGTTGACAACATTGTCAAAAAAAATAAGAACAGTACCCCGGCTCCCAGGCATGAAGCTCACTCATCCGAACAATAAAGCACAAGGCTAGTGAAGTAGGATGCACATGGAAATAGAGAAAATTGAGGTGTGCTACAATGGCAACAATGATGTGACAACAAGGATACTCTGATGGGCAGTGGTATTGGGACCACTAAAATGATGGAAGAGGGTTCCACAAAGCTGCAGCAATCATAGCCGTATGTGGCGTGTAACGTATGGATACAGTGCATAGTAATTTCTAGCTTAAATATTGTAGCTGGCCACTGCCATAGGGTATATGCACCAATGCAAAAAAAAAATGAAACATACACAATTCCTTTAAATAACTTTGTTGGGAGATGCCTGCATATGAAGACCTGTAGGATGTGCTCTAACAAAAGTGACATTTAAAAAATATATTTATACCAAGAACAGTCAGAACAGTGGGCGTTTAAAGTACCCACACCTAATGATATATCTACATTATCAAGCCCCAGTATTTATGATTGTTCCCCTCCTGCACCGATTATCCTTTTTATTATTAATCCGTTTACTCATATAGTCATTAGACTCAATGGGGTTGATTTATTAAAACTGGAGAGTGCACAAGCTGGTGCAGCTCTGCATAGAAACCAATCAGCTTTCAGGTTTTATTGTCACAGCTTAACTGAACAAGCTGAAATGAAAAGCCGATTGGCTACCATGTAGAGCTGCACCAGATTTTGCACTCTCCAGTTTTAGTAACTCAACCCAATATGTCTGCAAAATATTAGGTATGCTAATGCGGCAGTGAAATCTCTCTCAACACATTTCTCAAGAAAGATCTTCAGGAGAATAGTTAGGGCTACTTTTACTTAACTGTAATTTGTACATGAGTATGGTCCAGTGGCGGACTGACAACTCATGGGGCCCCCGGGCAATAGTATCCCCTGTATCCTTCCCCAAACTCAAAAAAGCCTATGAAAAAGGTACCAGGGGCATCTCATGGGGCCCCCTACTGACCCCGGGCCCTCGGGCAGTGCCCGAGTTTCCAAATGGTCAGTCCGCCCCTGGTATGGTCACTAATCCACCCTCCTGGGGTAAACATAAGAGTACCAAAGATGGAGAACCTGGTGTGCAAGGTTAACAGCAGACACACTTGAGTTCTTGATATCAAAATTACTTCGGTATTTAATCCATTCCCCTTTTGGTTAGCCATTGTGTGTGGTTCAGTTAACTCTTCATTAACCATCCACTGCAGTCATAGTGTAGAAGGCATAAGGGGGAGTGGCAAGACCTTGCTCCAACTACCTGGATTTTATATAGAGAGACTAGGCATCCATCCTTGTTAGATTGACCATCAGAACTGACATCTGTCTGGACCTCCAGGTGAATGTGGGCAGTGTGAGCAGTTTACACTTATAGGAGATGAGTCTGTAGCCACATCGAAAAAAAAAAATTGCCAATAAATATAAATTCCTTATATGATCCTGTTTGTAAGCAGCCAGGTGTTCCTGGGTGAGGTAATCCAGCTGTCATTTCTGGTAGGAGTCCAATGGAATAGAAACTTTATGGTCATCATGTCCACTGGTAGTTGGAGCATTAATTATCATGATGGATCTACATTGCTGGATGACGGGACTCATATTGGGTTTACATTGTGGGACATTTTGAATAAAATCATTTTTTTCTGTGGTGTCTGTGTGTTTATTTGGAGTTGCTTTCCAATAATGAGTAGAGGCATGCAGTAATTCATTATATTTTTAGTTGGATTATTGCAACCTAAAAAGCATGCATTGGATTCATAAGCACAAAATTAAATGCTGATTGTTCCAAAAAAATAAAATATGAATAACATGGAAACAAAAACTTTAAAAATGAAAGCTGTCTGTTTTGAGTTTGGTGACAAATTTGAGCAAGGCTTTCCTGATCTCCTGGTTCCTGAGGCTGTAGATAATAGGATTCATCAGTGGTGTCACCACAGTGTACAGCAAAGACCTATATTTGTTCATGCTTGCTGTGCTGGCATCTGTTGGGACCATGTATACGGTGATCAAAGTTCCATAATAGATACAGACAGTAGTCAAGTGGGAGCTACATGTGGAGAAGGCCTTTCTTCGACCATAAGCAGAAGACGTTCTCAGAATGGTGAAGAAAATGTACATGTAGGTTAAGATTATGAAAGTGAACGGGCAAAATATCAGGAATATGGAAATTACAAAGTCTTGTAGCATCAAACTGGATGTGTCTGAAGTGGACAGTTCCACAACTGGTCCAAAATCACAGAAAAAATTGTCAATATAATTAATTCCACAGAAGTTAAATTGAACCACTACCATTATTTCACTTGATATTAACATGGAAACTAAGAACCAGGATCCAAAAACCAACTGGAGGCAAACACGAGGGCTCATAAGTGAAGCATAATGCAATGGTTTGCAAACGGCCAAGTATCGATCATAGGACATAACAGCAATCAGAAAACATTGCACAAATCCAAAAATGCCAAAGGCATGCAACTGAGTGATGCATCCGACAAATGATAGTCTTCCCTCCTCAATGAATATAATATCTAGCATCATTGGGACAACACTGGTGGTCAGTAGGACATCTGCTGTGGCCAAGTGCTTGAGGAAGAAGAACATTGGGATTTTAAGATGATCAACAGTTGTTACCAAAATGATAATTAAAAGGTTTCCACCGAGTATGATAAGATAGGTTAAAAGAAAGACAATAAATAATAAAGTTTTAAACTTGGCCAGGCCACGAAACCCAAGTAAACGAATCTGTGCAACCTGAGTCTGATTGATCTCACACATTTTTTGCACATAGATTTACTAAAGATACCAGATATACAGTATGTGCTTTTCTCCTGTAAGATACAAATGGAGTAGGAAATAGTTGGATATTCATAATGAAGAAAAAGTTCTGTATATGCATGTTTGTTTTTTATTTATTTTTTTTCTTGCAGATATGGTAAAAACAGGAATAAACTGCTTCCTGGCTGCCCACTGCACATAAACAGTGAGACGAGAGCAGTTCCAATGCAGGTTGAAATAGCCATACATAAACCTGCATTGGAGGCTCGTTCATGGCTCACAGAGTGCGCCTACAGGATCCTGGTGATTGGCATGTACACTCACAGACTGCAGTGCCAACCTGTCCCCAGTGTCCCTGATCACTGCCCCAGTGTAGTACTAATAAACAATGCAACCAGCCCCTGCCACCTGTCTCAGTGCTCAGTTACACTACCATACAAACATCTTGATCATTACCATATCAGCATCCTTATCACGGCTATATATCATACTAGCATCCTGATCACCACCATACTAGTGTCCTGATCACCATCATGCCACATATCAGCAATCTGATCACAGCCATACCCCATACCAACATCCTGATTACCACCAGATGCCATACCAGCATCCTTACCACCACCATACCAGTGTCCTGATCACCACCATACCCCATACCAGCATCCTGATTACTGTCACATGCCATACCAGCATCTTGATCACCGCCATACACCATGCCATCATCCCTATTACTGCCATATGCCATACCAATGTCCTCATCATTGCCATACGCTATACCAGCATCCTGATCACCACCATATGCCATACCATTGTCCTGGTCACTGCCATACTAGCATTCTGATCACCTCCAGTCCCCATACCAGCATCCTGATCACAGCCATACATCATAACACTATCCTGATCACTGCCAAACCTCACTTCAGCATCCTAATCTCTGCCATATCCCACACCAGCATCCTAACCAGTGTCATACTCCATACCAGCATCCTGATCACAGCCAAACCCCACACCAGTGTCCAGATCACTGCCATACCCCAAACCAGCATCCTGTTCACCACCATATGCCATACCAATGTCCTGATCACTGCCATACCAGCATCCTGATCACCATGCCCCATACCAGCAACCTGATCACTACCATACCAGCATCCTGATCACCATAATACCCCATACCAGTGTCCTGATCACTGCCATACCCAATATCAGTGTCCTGATCACTGCTATACCAGTGGCCTGATCACCGCCATACTAGTACCAGTGTCAACAGAGTCAGTATCCACAATTGTTTCCACTCTCCTGGTTTTCCAGTTCCTCCAAAAATGTGATAGTCAGGAAATTAGATGTGTAGTTTATGCCCCTTGAACACCTTAAGGTGCTTCATACAGTAGATGTTTGGCCCCTCTGTATGACTAGGCTGTGAAAAAGTCTCACACGTAGTATACCCTTACTCAGTAACAGGATATGTTTTGAGGTGTAATTCTAAGTATGTCCATGCTGTGTGTGAGAAATGTATTATTAAATTGACAACTTTGTGTATAAAAAATTATTTTAATTTTCTCTCTGCATTTTCCAAAACCTTGTGCCAAAAAATTAAGTCTTCAAAAGACTCATGCCACTTAACAAAATACCTTGGGGTGGTTTCTCTCCAAAATTGGGTCATTTTTGGGTGTTTCTACTGTCCTGGTGCTCTAGTTCCTCCAAAAATGCTATGGGTAGTATGGAAATTAGATGCGTAATTTACGCCCCTAGAAAGCCTGAATGTGCTCCTTGGATTTTGGGCCCATCCATGTGGCTAGTCTGTTAAAAAGTATCATGCATGTGGCATCGCCACACTTGGGAGGAGAATCAGAATGTGTTTTGGGGTGTATTACTAAGTAAGTCTATGCTGTTTGCTAGAAATATCATAATTGTCAACTTTGTTTAAAAAAATACATTTTCATTTTCTTTTCTACATTTTCTAAAAACTTGAGGCAAACATTTTTCAAAAGACTCATTATGCATTCAGAAAATATCTCAGAGTGCTTGCTTTCCAAAATGGGGTCATTGGTGACAACTGCCCAACAAGTTGCTTGCCCTGCACCCAGTGAATAACAACATCTAAGGAGCCCCAAGCCAGGTGTCTACTCCACCACCAGGCTCCCAGACATCCTGAACGTCTGTTTCACACAGTGGTATGAGGAGACATCGCCAAAACATGTGCAAAAATCATCTGATTTCTTACCCACTATGCACAGAAGGCTCCAACAAAATGGCAGAGGGAGATAATCAGTAGCGCTGGCCACCACACCTCTAGTGTCATTATCTACTGCTCACACAGATGCAGCTCACACAGACGCTGGCACAGATGCAGCTCCACAGGATTCTGCTTATTCTGACTCTGGCTCATCTTCTCCATTGACCAGGGGCCCAGTGAAGTCCAGACCTCACAAAGACTCTAGGAATGAACAGGATCTTTCAAACGCTTATGTTCCTACGTCCATCTCTACATGTTGACATGTTGATGCATTGTCTCATGCATCCAGCAATGTAGGGCTGAAATGCAGGATTTGGGTGACAAAGTAAACTAGGTAGAGGGGAAAATGTGCAAATTCACCACATCCTTTAACATGCTTGCAATCGCACAGCAAGAAGAGATCTCTAGGCTTAAATCCAAACTGGTTGACCTCGAGGACCACTCACAATGAAACAACCTTAAACTCAGCGAAATCCCAGAGTCAGTTCAAACTCCCTAACTACCACATTATGCTTGAAGCCTCTGCGAGGAGTGATTCTCTCATTATCTTCTGCTGACCTCACTATAGACAGAATACACAGGGTTCCCAAGCTCTCCTAACTACACTCTGACTCCAACAATGATGTGCTGTGATGTGCTATTAAGAGTAAATTTTTTCCTAGTCGAGAAGCTCCTGGAGGCCTTCAGATGGACGCACAACCATTCCAGCACAAGCAGCCAAGTTACAAGTCCTCCCAGACTTCCACCAGCATACTCTTCAACAATCTTGCAACAATTACAAAAGCCCTATGCAACAATAAGATCATCTACAAGTGGAAGCATCCAGAAAAATGCTGCTTTTTGTACCATGGCTCAAACCACATAATAACTTCAGTGGACAAGGGCCTCCACCTTCTTCATGACTGGAACCTACTTCTGTCAATACCTGAGCTCAATAGCAACCAAAACCACTCACTCCTGACACACCTGACTCAAGAATGGCAAATGATCAACCACAACAAAGTCTCCACCAAGAAAACCTGAGGCTTCTGACAAATGAACCTTGCAACCTCTCCCTAGAGATGCCTTTGGTTATACAGGATACAGAATATGGTACCCAATTTTCCTCACAAAGTTGGCAGGATGTTCTGCCCAGGTCAACACTGGACCATTTTTGTATGCCTTTTGCTCTTCTTATGGTAAAGAGCATAGTTGCACTCAAATTCTTGTTGGACATTACCAGTTCTTTTTTTTTTGGCTATCTCTGCCTGTTCCACACCAGGCCCACATCAATACTCATGATGGCCTATGGACCATATGTATGTTCCAACCTTGGGACCTCTCACGCACCCTTACATCAACACAGATGGAGATTCACCTGACTCAGCTTTATCCAAATGCTATAGGGTCTCAAAAAATGTGAAAGATAGTCAGGAAATTAGATGTGTAATTTGTGCCCCTAAAATGCCCAGAAGTGCTCCTTGGATTTCAGACCCTTCTATGCATCTAGGCTATGAAAAAGTCTCACACATGGGGTATCCATATACTCAGGAGGCATAGCAGAATATGCTTTGGGGTATTGCAAGTATACCTATGTGTGTGAGAAATAGCTCGTAAAATGCTAATGACAGCAAAAATTAATTTCTTCATTTTCCAAAAAACCTGGAACAAAAAATTACACGTCTTATCACACCTCTTATTAAAAACCTTGGACTGTTTAATTTCCAATTAGGGGTCATTTTTAGGGTATTTGTACTATCCTGGCTTTTTAGGGTCTCAAGAAATGAGATAGACTGTCAGTACATCAGGACTGATCAATTTACAAATATACAGTGCTCAGCATAAATGAGTACACCCTAACAGATTTGGCAGAAACGTTCACTTTAATTTCAGAATCAACATTTTCTATGGGACACTATACAACAAAGTACTGCCACAAATGATGGCAATAGATTGCAAATAAGATTTGTTCATTTGCACACACAAAAAAAAGTATTTTTCCTAACAAATTAATTCAAGACCATGTTGCAAAAATGAATACACCTCAACAGGGGCAGACTGACAACTCATGGGTCCCCCGGGCAATAGGGGATCATGGGGCCCCTGTGTCCTTGTCCAAACTCAAAAAAGCCTATGAAAAAGGTATCAGGGGCATCTCATGGGGCTCCCTACTAACCCCGGGCCCTCGGGAAGTGCCTGAGTTTGCAAATGGTCAGTCCGCCCCTGCACCTCAATGAAAATCTTAGGAGCAAAGCTAAATTTTAGACAACAAGATCCTAATTAACAATAACTCAACTACAGGTGAGTCTAATTATTCATTAAACTGGTGTACAGCAGACATTTGATTATAAAAGGCCACTACTTAATAAATGGCACCACATGGAAAAGAAATGTCACAAGGCCTAAGAAAGAAAATAATTTATTTACACTACAAATATGAAGGCTACAAGAAGATCAGCAAAGCTTTACTTATCAGTCAGAAAACTGTAGCAAAAGTGATCCAAAAATTTAACAAAGATGGAACCGCAACCATCTCTCAGAGACATCCAGGCCATCCACGGAAGTTTACACCTCGACAGGAGCATCTTCCGATGAGAAATTTTGAAGAAAATCATTATGCAAGTTCACTGCAGTTAGCCAAAGAAGTAGAAAGCCAAACTGGGGTGATTGTTTCCAGTGACACAATACGGCATACACTGCAGAGGAATGGCATGCATGGGTGTCGTCCATGAAGGAAGCCTCTCCTAAAGCCCATGCACAAAAAAGCCTGCCTAGAAATTGCCAGGAA